TGAAAACCACGAGCCACAAGACGAGCTTTGTGACGCTCAAGAGAACCATCGGAGCGAGTCTTAACCTTGTAGACCCACTTACAAGTGATTGGACGGACTCCGGGAGGAAGAGAAACAAGATCCCAGGTACCAGTGCGTTCAAGAGCAGCAATCTCCTCTGCCATCGCAAACTGCCATTCAGGATGAACAACAGCCTGACGGTAAGAAGTCGGCTCAAGAACAGCAGCACCAGCGGTGGGAAATCCAAAGCGATCAACAGGCGGACGAGGACGAGAACGCAAGCCATAAGTAGGCTGAGAGGAAGATGACGACTCATCCACAGAGGCATCGACTGGTCGTGGACGACGAGTGTAATGCTGAGGAAAAGATGGAATAATAGAAGGAGGAATCGTCAAGGTAGAATCGGGGGGTGGCGACGAAGAAGTCACCGGAGATGAAGGTGTAGAATCCGGTGACATGCTGGGAGAGGAGACCGGGGAGGAAGTCACCGGAGATGAAGGTGGAGAACCCGGTGACATGCTAGGCGAGGAGACCGGGGAGGATGGTGGCTGCAAATCAACTAGAGGTGGAGAAGGAGAGGAAGTGGAACGGAGAGGTACAGGCTCGACGGGGGTGATAGGTGAGTCAGGAAAAGTGAGGAAAGAGATATCCTACACTAAAAAAGTCGAGGAAGATGGGCGTGGGTAGAAGGGACGTGACTCATCAAAAGTCACGTCTCGAGAGATACGCATCCGACGACCGATAGGATCCCAACAACGATAGCCCTTATGCTCATCACTGTAGCCTAAGAAGACACACTCAACAGACTGAGCGGTCAGTTTGGTGCGTTCGCGAGGGGCAAGAAGAACATAGCAAACACAACCAAACGAGCAAAGCATCGACTAATCGGGAGAACGATCAAAAAGTCGCTCGAAAGGAACACCACCCTGTAGAGCAGCGGAAGGCTGTATATTGATAAGATAGGTGGATGTGGAGACGGCCTCAGCCCAAAAATGAGGCAGGAGCCGTCTCAAGAAGATGTCGATGCTTTTGCTCAGCCTCACCATTCTGAGCATGAGCACCAGGACAAGGGAATTGAGAGAGAGTCCCTTGCTCAGCAAGAACACCACGCAACATCTTAGAGATATACTCGCCAGCGGAGTCAGCACGAAAAACACGAATGGGTGAAGAGAACTGAGTATGAACCATGGCAGCAAAATGCTTATAAATAGACAACACCTCAGAACGAGAAGTCATGAAATAAAGCCATGTGTAACGAGAGAAATCATCTATGAAAATAATATAGTATTTATGACCACCTTTCGAAGCGAAAGGGGCCGGACCCCATACATCAGAATGTACTAAATCGAAAGGACGCTTGGACACCGACTCACTATGTGAATATGGTAACTGAATCTGCTTGCCAAGACGACAACCCTGACACTCTAAAGAGACATCTCCTGAGACAGACCCCAGAAGACCTCGACGAACTAAAGAAGACAACCGAGAACGACACAGATGACCAAGTTGATGATGCCACTGCTGGAAGGAACCAGTAATGGAGGCGACAGAAGCGGAAGAACTGGCAATGGTGGTGGCAGCGGAAGGAACATGAAGCCAGTCCAACTCCCAAAGACCCTGAGAATCACGGCGGCGAGGGCCAGCCCCAACCAGAGTGTGCGTGCGATGGTCCTGGACAGAACAAGAGTCAACGTCAAGGATGACGCGACAACCAGAATCAGTAAGTTGACCAGCAGAAAACAGATTCATGGTAAGTCGAGGAACATGAGCAACATCAGGAATAGAATAAGAAGGAGTGGTAAGATTGCATCTACTAGCAACAGAAAGTGGAGTACCATCAGCAGTGAAGACATGAACAGGAGAATCCAGTGATCGAAGAGAGGACAAAGTGGAAGAATGAGAAGACATATGAAAAGAAGCTCCAGAGTCCAGAACCCATGGGGATGTACCTGACTGTGTAGAGGGTGATTGCTCAGTGCGGGAAGCATCAGTCACAGAACCAGCAGTACCTGTCGAGGAAGAACCTGAAGCCTCGAGCAGACGCTTAAGTCTCAGAATATCCTGGTCAGTCAAAGCAATGGCTGAAGCTGTCGAGGTAGATGACGAAGTCCCTGAAGATGATGATTGCGCCTTGCGCAGGTGTTTCTTCTTCGTGTAGCACTGAGACTCAAGATGACCATCATTGTTGCAATAGTCGCAATGTGGACGGGGCGACCTGAGCCTCCAGAAGGAGTGGGCAAGAGCGGCGGAGCACTCGAGCGAGAAGGGGTCGGTGCAGCAGGTGGCGTAGGAGCACGAGTAGCGAGCATAGAGGGAACCTCCAGCAAACCAGCACCACGTAAGCGAGTCTCCTCAGCACGAATCTCAGAAAGCGCCTCCATGAGAGAAATACGGCCACGAGCAAACAACTGAGCACGCCGGGGCTCAAACTCCTTACGGAGCCGAGACAGGAACTCATAGACGCGATGAAACTCCAAATTGGCCTAGACAGCCTGGCAACAGGGGCAGGTACGACAACCAGCACTGCGGAGAGAATCAAGCTGGCGCCAGATAGCAGAACTCTGTGCATAGAAGTCATCAACAGTAGAGTCACCCTGCTGAAGAGCATGCTCCTGACGGACCACAGAAAGGTATAAGGCATCACCAGAGGGCTGATAGCGCTCACGAAGACGGGTCCACATCTCAAAGACAGTAGGAAGACCCAGAAATTCAGAAGCAAACTGAGGCAGAACACTAGCAGTGAGAACAGCTGCAGCACGAGCATCATCATCAAGCCACTGGGTGTAAACAGACAGAGCACCATGATACATCTGAAGAGCCTCCTCATAAGCCAAAACCCTATCATCATAAGCACGATCAGCAGCCTCATCAGCAAGCTTAGCCGCATCCTTGGCGGCCTGATTAGCATCCGTAGGAAGAACCGATGGAGTTGGCGGAGTAGGGGCCACCGGAGGAACTGGACGTGGCGGACAGCAGACCTCGCCAGAAAGAACACCCCAAAGACGGATGCCACACATGTGAATGCGCATGAAGCCAGTGAACTCAGTGTAGTTAGTACCATCGAAGATCACCGGACAGCGAGGGACAACAACATAGCCCGATGCAGCAGACATTTTTTTAGGCAGAGATCAGCGGGAGCAGGAGATCAGGGCCCCGTCGCTTAGGGCCGGCTGGGAACGAGACTGCAGCCTTGTCGAAGCGGTCGTCCGGGAAGTAGATCGTGGAGCCCTCGAACCCCTCAAACTGCGCCACCTCGATGGATCTGGAGCGCTCGGCCGGAAGTAGATCGATGGAAAGCGGTCGTACGGGAGCTGCTGACGGGATCGATGGATCTGGAGCAGCCTTGTCCACCGTCGGCTCGGGGCGCGGGGATGAAGCGGTCGTCCGGAAGGTGATCGCTCGGGATCGCTCGGGCGGACCTGCTGACGGGAGCTGCGACGGCCCAAGAGCAGGGTTGACCTGCGGTGGTGAAGGTACCGGAGAGCAGCGCCGGCCAAGAGACGAACGGCGGCGGCTGCGTGGACGGGAGATTGGATCGAGAGCACGAGTTGCGCGTGCTAAAAAGAAACCCTAAGGCTCTAATACCATGTTAGGAATATGCAACTTGTATTCCCATGAGGCCATAGGCCGATATATATACATGTACAGGTGTGGAACATATGCAGGAAACCCTTTATACAATGGGATAAATACAAAGGTGTACATGACTTATATTATAACTCTAACAGAAGCAAGCATCATACTATAAAAAGATAAATATGATTAGACAAGACCTACTCACAATGCTACCTGCCTGATCCAGTGGAACATTCAGTTCCGAGTCCGTTAAAAAGCATGACACTCTTTCAGTAAAATTGAAAAGCATGCAAGAATCAGATATATTGTGTATCAATTTTTAAAAGATTCAAGTAAATGGGATGCAAGAGTAAGGATTCCGTCTTATTATGAACAGGAAGAGCATACAAGTAACTTACATTTGTCTCTACACACTCATCTTTGTTTCTATTCATCCCTCATTTTGGCCAGGCATGTTAAGACAGTACAGACTTTATTTGGGTGACAGTAACGGCATTCAGTTAGATAGTTGCAACTGGCTTGTATCTCACCTCGAATAATTCATTGTATTTAGAAACATTCTCCCTTTTCTGTCATTTTCTACTCTCAGTTTGGCTCACATTATAAAGATATACAGTGCTACATTGCAAAATAAAGCAACAGCTATTTGATAATAGTTAAACTTAACGGAGGGGGCATCTTGTCTTGCTATTAAAAGAGAAATGTGCTAAGCAAGCTATTGCTAGTAATATCCTAGAGAAACTGGCAAGGCTATTACGGTATACGGTTACAACTGAATGAACCTCCCATTTGAAGTGGAATTTTCATACCAGCAGTTGGAATGTCTACAATGTTAAGCATGCGCCATCAGATAGTTTAGTATATATATTCTCTGTCATTATTCAAACTCGAAACAGCTGAACCGTGATCTGTGCAAATTTGAACCTGCATCTTATTCTTTTTCTTCTTGTAAGAGACCGCGTGATCAGAACACAACTCTTGGTATGATTTGCGTTCAATGTTAGAAGTAGTATATGTCAGCACGTGCAATTCCTCAGTATAAACAGTTAATGCAGGATAGCTCCATATAGCTCGGTATGTGCAGGTATGATTTATTTAAGTCGTCCACTATGTGCAGCATTCAGTTCTGCAACATTTGAAGCACGCAAGCACCGTATACTTGCATATAGAAAGATAGAGCTGCAAGTAAAAGGAGATGGTAAAATATAGACTTCATTTCATTATGAACAGGAGGAGAATACATATCAGTAACTTTATCTGCCTACATCTGCATGGCTCTTCTCCTCTCCTTTCTGCCTCATTTTCCTCAGGCTCATGTTAATACACTACAACACACAGTACTTTTATTTGGATGGCACCCTATAGTGCTTGAGGTGCAGCCAGTGTTTGAACGGACAGGTTAATGATTTGGATCTGATTAATGATCATGGAAAGTTAGACATAATAGACTTAGAGCTTCTACTGCATGACCCACGGATCCATCCAAGCTGCCCTTTCTCATTGTCATAAATTATCATCTGATCCTGCATTGTGATGTCTACAGAATAGAAGATCAACTGCAATTATTACAAGATCCCAGATATCCTAATTTTAGAAACTGGGTACTGTGTGTATGAATTTATACCTCCAATTATGTTGAATGTCTGTTTAGCAGCCGTACCATCAAGGATACCTAAGCACACATTCCCATATTTCTGGCACAAAAAAGACGAGAACATTTTAGCTTTCATTTTTTCAGTAAAATGTTTGGTAAAATTACTGTAAGTTGGGTTATCGAACGCTTACAGTGACAATGAGGTAGTTTTCGGGAGGGATCTCCATGACAGAATTCTTGCCAAAGCTCAAGAACAGTGACTTGAAATCGTTCTTGACTTCTGACACAGATTTGAATACCTTCTGCCCTTTCCAGCAAAGAGGCAGACTGACATCTGAGACTTCTTTAAGTGACTTGCTGAGACCAGCTTTGAGCTACAAGACAAGTATCCGATTGATTAACTGTTTCTTTCTTCAAATTCATGGCAGTTAAAATGAACTGTGTTTGAAATCTACCGCAGAAACAGTTGCTTGGTATGGTTGGGCCGCAAAGTAGGTGTAGGTACTACCGCTGTCAAATACCACCTCCATTGGCTTCACCCCTAGCGAGCGTCGGTCGAAGTACAGTGTTCCTGAGCCAGGTGAGTAGTAATTCCTGAAAATAAAATATTGTATAACGTGTGAAGCCAAAAGGTCTTACTGAAACCTTATACAGTTTACAAAACTTTCTGTTGACACGGAATGCAAATCCTATATAAGGTACAGGCATTCAGTTCAGGTGGTCTGAGTTCCCAGCAAAAAAGAGAGAGTCTGAGCTAACATGTTTTAAGACGCTAAAGTTTTTACCCTTTTTCTGAATTATTATTGTAGTTTATTGATATTAATATGAAATACACTGCTCAATGATAGACTGAAAACATTCAACAGGGTTGCAATCAACTGTACACGAGCATTATCACTGAGTTGTCATGTGAAGTTGATGATTTTTTTTACCCTCCTGTAGCTACAAAGCACAAAAAGATAAGGATAGCTTCCAAATTTATTAATTTTTACGTTGTCATGTTGTTTCAGCAATAGGGCCATTTTATTAGGTCCATGCCATGTCACTGGTGATCAAGAAATCAACCAAATACCAATGTAGCCTAATTCTTAGACTAAAATAAATCCATGATTTGCAATTGGCAACACATTTTATCAAAATGTTAAGAACAATGCATTCTTACCCATATGTGGTACGAGCCATGGGAACCCAAGTTACACGCGAGGTGGGTACGATATCATCCCCGAAGAAGAGGAAGCCTCCTCCATTCGTGCTGAAGCAATGGCCAAGAACATTCTTGGTAATCCCTTGCTGCTTGAGCTGCGAGAGCAGGCTAACTGATCCTTTCCCAAGCGCAAGCAAGCCGTCCGTCGCCGCCTGCACTGCGCCATTCTTTCCCACTTGCTGATCATATCCACAGCTGAAAAGAGAAGCAATAAAACATCAAGAACGGAACTAAAACACCAATAACGAGGCAATGTAACATAAATTGGCATATATTATTACCCAAAGGTGAGGTTGGCACGGACAGTGGATGAATTCCTCAGGGACAGTGTGAAGTTGTCAGCGATGAGCACGCCGAGTGAAGTTGCCTTGTCCGTGTACTTGATCTGGTAATCACATTGCTGTGGTACGGCGCATTTCTTGTTAGGGCTCAAACTAGTGCAGAGCGAAGCTGCACAGGGAACAATCTTGTTCTTTGTTGGCTTGTACCATGGGTGTGGCACCTACAACAACAATCAGGAAGAAAATCAATCACAAAACCTTGTGGAATGGAAAAAAAAAACAAGGCCTGCATTCCACATCAAATCTGGGACTAGAATTAAGCCAGTAGTGGATTAGGATAATCAGTGACTTTGATGCAAACCAAGCAAGAAAATATCACAATATTATTATGTTTTGACGGAAAAGATCACAATCTTAACACAGAAGAGAGACCAATTCTTGAACTAAATCTAGTGGCAGAAAGAAAAGCTATGAACTTGAATACTGGAGTTGAATTCTCCGTGCAACTCAAGCAATTAGGTACGTAAGATATAACATTGAGGTGTAGTGCACCTTGTTGCAGCTTTGGCAGGGGGCGTCGCATTGCAGCCAGCTGAGGTCGCTGCCGGTGTCGACGTCCAGGAAGTAAGGCTTGGCCGGGTCCCCAATATTCATGGTGACATGATAATGCCTGCAGAAACGGCACAGAAAATTTCTGAACAAACAAATCCTGAAAGAACTGATGAGAAAATAAACAGAGGATGCAAACAGAAAACAGTTCAGTGGATCCCTATCTTCAGAACAAAAAGTAAATAAATAGATAGACAGAAAAAAGTCAGTTCATGGAGCAAAAGTCAAAGAGGATTCTTGGACTTTGTGCCGGCTACTTGGACGGGATTAACATCAACGCCGGCAGAGCCACGCAGACGACGATCGACGACTCTGCATTCGTCAGAAACCAACCAACCAAAGCTGCAAATAAACCCCAAAGATCTGCGTATCTGTTCTGCGCGCACAGAACAGAACCCGGGGATATCCTGAGAACCAACCCAATCTGATCAGGGCAGGGGGGAGGAGACCGCGTACCCGATGGGATAGACGGCACCCTGGAGCTGGAACACGGCGGTGGACGAGGACGACGGGGACTTCCCCGGCGTCGCGGCGCGTGCTGGGCTGGGCGCGAACGGGAGCAGGAGGAGGAGGAGTGCGAGGAAGGCGGCCGGGGACCACCTGGCGGCCGCCATGGCGGGAGGGGAGGGAAGAAGGTGGCGGCGGCGGACGGACGGATCGCTCGAGGGTGGAGCAGTCAGCAGTGTGAACAGCTGTCGCGCTAGTTTTTTGGTTGGAAGCGGAAACGCGGACCGCGAGGGGGTATTTATAGTGGGCGGAAGGAGAACGCGCTCCATGCCTCCGTCGAACCTTCTGCCCGGTTACTCATTTATCTCTCTCTTGTTTTTAATTTTATTTATTTATTGGCTAGAAAAAGGGAGATTCTTTTTTCAGGAATGTTAACAATATGATATCAGAGTTTTAGGCATGGCAAATACGTTTTTCCTGGAAATTTATATTGCCGCGCAGATGGCAAATTTAGTTGATGAGCACGATAATTTTCTGGCAAAAAATAAAAAAAATTGAACTGATGAGGATTTGCTATGCATCAACTAAACTTGCCATCCTCAGCTAACATAATTTATCATTAAAAAGATTCCAATTGTCATATCTAAAAATCTGACATTCGCTGGATATTCAATCTGCCTGAAAATTCAGGCAAACCCTACGCCGTATACATACAAAAATACACACACTGTGATTTATATTGAGTTTGACATACTTCCATTGTATACTAATTTGTTTTTACGTCAAACATGAAAATTTGTGTGTAAGATGCTAAAGGAGTAAAGGTACAGTATATATGTATTGGACTCTGGTTTTAATTCCGTGTGGACTAGTGGATAATTTTCCTTGCATTTTCTTCACCTAAAAATGGAGACCAACGACCAAAAGACTTTGAGCCGAGACTTGAGTTGCTATCATGTCGCGTAAACTAACACGGAGAGACGCCGTGTTAAGTAATCAGACCATCACTTGCTTGTAGCTTTCAGTCCTATTGATGGTCTGATGTCGTTTTCACTTCTCTTTTTAAATGGCCTTGGTGTGACTAAGAGGGACAAGCCTGTCTAAAATTTGCACAACATTTTCTAGGGTACAAGACGTTTATGCGCACCACACATCTGACTTTTTTTTTGAGAAACTTCCAATCTATTCATCTTTAATCATGATAGTACAAAAATTACAACGATGTCCGTGGATCACCTAGCGACGATGAACTAGGGTTTGAGAGGAGATATTGTTGTTGAAGATGTTGATGAAGATTGCCCTCCCAAAGATGAAAGGATTATTGGTGATGACGATGGCTTCGATTCCCCCTCCAAGAGGGAAGTTCCACCGGCGGAATCGCTCCGCCGAAGGGCAAAAGTGCTCCTGCCCAAGTTCCACCTCGAGACGGCGGCGCTTCATCCTGAAAGTCCTCTCCTTATTTATTTTTCTAGGTCAAAATGACCTATATACCAGAATATGGGCACCGGAGGTGGGCTGGGCTGAGCACAACCCACTAGGGCGCGCCCTGGTATCTTGTGCTCACTAGGTGGCCCCCCTCTGGTAGTTATTTGCTCTAGTATTTTTCATATATTCCAAAATAATTCTTCGTAAATTTTTAGCTCATTTGGAGATGTGCAGAATAGGTGCCCTGACGTAGTTGTTTCAGGTCCAGAATTCTAGTTGCCGATATTCTCTCTCTTTGTGTGAACCTTGCATATTATGAGAGAAAAATCATTATAATTACTCAATAAAGCATTATTATGCATCAAAACATTATAAATAACAGTAGGAAAATATGATGCTAAATGGATGTATCAACTCCCCCAAGCTTAGACCTTGCTTGTCCTCAAGCGGAAAACCGATATCGAAAAACATGCCCACATGGTTAGAGAGAGAGGTGTCGATAAAAACAAAATACAGACATAGTATCATCATGCTTATTATAACAGCAACAAACTTTATCACATAACTTCTCATGAAGAAGTGACAATTCATCACAACAACGAAGTAAAAGCATAAACTCTATAGAAAACCAACACTCTATGTTCTCAGTCAACTTTGCAATTACAATTCATTATATTTCCAGAAGGGTCTTGTATCGGAGCCTTTTGGCAAGTCCACATACTCAACCGTCATTTAATCTTATATGATTGCTAACACTCATTGTATACCCATGAGCAAAAAGTTTCAACCAGACACATAGAAAGATAGAGGCTTAAAGTTTCGCCTCCCAACGTATTCACCTCGAGGGTGATGTCAACAATAATAATTCATGCTCACCTACATCCAACTGGATATATGTGCCTAGATCTTTTCTCACCACATGATGCTTGCAGAAAGAGAAAATAAAAAGGAAGAGGGAAGAATACTTTGACTATTGCCTGAAAGTAAATACATAAAGTAATAGATAGGCCCTTCGCAGAGGGAAGCAGAGGTTGTCATGCGCTTTTTGGTTTGTATGCTCAATATCTTAGCAAAAGAACGTCATGTTATATTGTCCCTTATGATAGCAACCTTTATTATGCAGTCCTTCGCTTTTATTACTTTTCCATCACAAGTTCGTACAACGCTCAATTTTCTCTTACACTAAATGATCCAACACATTTAGAAGCAATTTTTATTGCCCTTTTGCACCGATGACAACTTACTTGAAGGATCTTACTCAATCCATAGGTAGGTATGATGGACTCTCAAAACAAGATTTTGGGTTTAAGGTTTTCGGATGCACAAGTAGTATCTCTACTTAGTGCGGATTTTTGGTTAGCAAAGATATTGAGCAAGCACCACATGTTGAAGGATCTATGACAATATAACTTCTATGTGAATATGAACAAACATAAATCATTACTTGTCTTCCTTGTCCAACATCAACAATTTTGGCATATAATATTTGATGGGGACTCACAATCATAAAATATGTCCAAGATAGTGTATTTGCATGTGAACCTTCTCTCCCCTTATTAATTCTTTCATGAATTGCATCATTGACCAATGCTATGTTTGTCGATCTCTAATAAATTTTATCACTTATACTTTTACTTATACTTTTCCTTATGTGATGTCATTACTTAACATAAGATTAGCATATGATCTGATCTTTTTCATTATTTTCTTTTATTTTGATTGAAACATAAAAGTAAAGAAGAAAAAACTCAAACTAAACTTTATTATATAACTCTCACTCGATTACATGGATAGATGGATTACGAGAACTAAAACTCGAAAATAAACCATGCTAAACTTTTATTCAACTAATTCAAAAGATAACTAAAGATTGAACTAAGATAGGTAAAGGTAATGAAAGTGATGATGATACGATACTGGGACACATCCCCCAAGCTTGGCACAAGCCAAGGGGAGTGCCTATACCCATGTACTTAAGTCTCCTTTGGTGGTGAAGATGATGATTGTCGGGGATATGACTATTGGATATGACCCGCCCAGGAGGGGCCGGGTTATCCCAATGGCGGTTCATAAACCAAGCCCATGAATATGTTGAAGATGGCGGTTCATTTAGTAGGCTTGTTAAAGAGCCCAAAACCCAAAGGCGGCTTAAGGCCCGTAAGTGTAAACTGCCATGTATATGTGACTTGTATTGTAAGGCATGTAAGATAAGTCACTGGGCCGAACACGTTTGTATGAACCGGCCGGGACTCTGTAAGCCGCGGAGCGTCAACCCGTGTATATAAGGGGACGACCCGGCAACGGCTTAGGGTAAGAGACAACAGATCGAAAGCCAGGCTAAGCGTATTCGCTCCTTGGTAATCGAAACCCTAGCAATACCACCTCAAACTAGATTAGGCTTTTACCTTCACCTTAAGGGGCCGAACCAGTATAAACTCCTCGTGTCCTTTGTCCCGTTTTAACCCCTTTAAGCTAACTATGTTGCAATGGCTCCACAACTAAGTCCTTCCACCAGGACATCTGCCGTGACAATTCCACGACAGTTGGCGCCCACCGTGGGGCTTGCGCACGGTGGTTTTGAGTTCTTGAAGGGCAGCTTTGAAGGGATCAAGGGGTACGCTGTGGGCCAGATGGCCAAGAGTCGTCGCGGCAAGCTCTACATCGATGACGTAGGCTGGGGCCCTGAGGCCGGCTCAATTGAGTACGGGTACCGGGTCTCCTTTAGCGGAATCCACGTCTTCATCGGCAAGATCGGTGAACCGGGCCCTGAGCCGGACATCTGCACCGACATCATCGAGACGACTCAGTGATACGTCCATTTTGCATCATGCTTTTATATCGATATTTATTGCATTATGGGCTGTTATTTCACATTATGTCACAATACTTATGGCTATTCTCTCTTATTTTACAAGGTTTACATAAGGAGGGAGAATGCCGGCAGCTGGAATTTTGGGCTGGAAAAGAAGCAAATATTAGAGACCTATTCTACACAACTTCAAAAGTCCTGAAACTCCACGGAATACCTTATAATAAATAATGAAAAATCCTTGCCAAAGATGAAGACCAGGGGGCCCACACACTGCTCACGAGGGTGGGGGGCGCGCCCCCTACCTCGTGGGCCCCCTGGTGGCTCTCCGATGACCATCTTCTCCTATATGAAGTCTTTCGTCGAGAAAAAAAATAAGAAGCAACCTTTCGGGATGAAACTCCGCTGCCACGAGGCGGAACCTTGGCGGATCCAATCTAGAGCTCCGGCAAAGCTGTTCTGCCGGGGAAACTTCCCTCCCGGAGGGGGAAATCATCGCCATCGTCATCACCAACGCTCCTCTCATCAGGAGAGGGCAATCCCCATCAACATCTTCATCAGCACCATCTCATCTCAAAACCCTAGTTCATCTCTTGTATACGATTCTTGTCTTCAAGTTCGGGATTGGTGCTAGTAGGTTGCTAGTAGTGTTAATTACTCCTTGTAGTTGATGCTAGTTGGTTTAATTGGTGGAAGATCATATGTTCATATCCTATATGCATATTAATACCCCTCTGATTATGAACATGTTTATGCTTTGTGAGTAGTTACGTTTGTTCCTGAGGACAAGGGAGAAGTCTTGTTATTAGTACTCATGTGAATTTGGTATTCGTTCGATATTTTGGTGAGATGCATGTTGTCTAGACTCTAGTGGTGTTATGTGAACGTCGACTACATAACACTTCACCATTATTTGGGCCTAGAGGAAGGCAC